CTCTACTCCCAATTACCCAGACTCTTGCCTTACCACCCAACCAAAACTTCTCTGCACATCATGAGCCAACAAGCCCATGGCTGTAAATTCAGTTCACATCTCCTGTTCTCATTACTCAGCCTTTCAATATCTGTGTTTCATATGCATCACTCTCAGCCTCTATAATCCCATAATAAGCTGGCTTTTCCCACTCACCTAAATGAGACATCTTTCTTAGAGACTTAGCTGTCTTAAATATCCCTACTTTCAACATCTATATAACTATTATCTTGGTCCCTCTCCTCCTCCAACTTGGACTTCTTTAAAAGTTCTTTCCCACCATTAGCTTCCAGATGACAATCAACTCAAATGCCAAATATAAGCTGTAACGACTTTATCTCCCTCTAATTCAGATAGCTCTCTTCCAAATGGAACTGTAACATTTTCTTCTTGCCGTTTCAAAGTTTAACTGTCTATAACTCATTACTTTAGGATATTCTTTCACTTGCCTCCCTTTTTCTGGGCTCCTTACTAACTTTTATGACCATCAATTTTACTGACCAAACCAAAAATTTCATTTTCACTAATACCCAACTTTCAAACAACAAGTAAGTGTAGTGGTCCCTCTTAATATCATCTCACATCTTTCCTCTTCTTCATCCCTCCTCCTAATACATAGTCCAAGTCCTCAGTGGAACAGCTGATGCCGGTCAGCTGGGGTTGAAGAATGAGCAGTGATTAAGAAGAGGCCAGTTTCATTGAGGAGAAGGCTTCTTGGAAGTAGTTCCTCAGGGTCAGCACCCAGAAGCTGTGTTCCAGCTTGAGGTATGATCTTGGCTGCCTCTGGAACACAGCTTCTGGTTGCTGACCCTGAGAAGCATCAATTTTCGCAGCAAAGCAAAAGTTTTACTTTCGTGGTTTTGGTCTCTTGTTAATCACGGACAATTCTTCAGCTCCAGCTGACCAAAAACACGGAGTCTTCACACAAAAAGCCCAGTGGAATCTGCTTTCCTCTGAAACTTCACAAGCCAGGCTCCCATTATCTGCACTGCTCTCAACATTATCTTCCAGGCTCGTACAAAACATCTCACTGAGTTCTCAATGCTTCATGACTTTTCAAGCCCAATATTGCAGTCCTTCCACAATCCTCCAAAAAACCAGCATGGTTAGTACTGTCACTGCAATACTTTATGCCTGGTACCAACTTCTTTTAGTTAGGGTTTCTATTGCTGCAATGAAACACTATGAGTAAAAGCAAGTTGGGGAGGAAAGGATTTATTTGGCTTAAATATCCACATTACAATCCATCACTAAAGGAAGTCAAGGAGGAGAGGAACTCAAACAGGGCAGGAACCAGGAAATAGGAGTTAATGCAGAGGCCATGGAGGGAGTGCTATTTATTGATTTGCTTCTCGTTGCTTTCTCAGCCTTCTTTGTTATTAGAAACCAGGACCACCAGTCCAGGAATAGCACTACCTGCAATCGACTGGGTCCTCCCCAATCGATCACTAATTTAAATGCACAGTTTACAATTTGATTTTCTTTTTTTATATAATTCCATCATGAAGTTTGATGATTGTTATCCTTTTTACTTTGTTTTCTAAACATAATACATTAGAGAGCATACCATGTACAGAATATCATGCAGTGGCTAGAGTGATCACACAGTGGTTGAAAGTGCTCTTGCAGAGGACTAGAACTGAATTCCCAGCACCCACACAGTGGCTCAAAGCTGCCTGTAACTGCAGGTTCAAGGGATTTGATGCCCTCTTCTGGCCTCTGCAGGCATCTTCACTCAGGTACACATACACACAGGACACACAAGCACGCACACACACACACACACATTTATATCTATATATAATGGAAGCCCCAAATATGAAACACATATACAATTTTAAATATATCTAGAGTCATATTCTAGGAAGTCAAAATGAAAGAGATAACATTAAATTCAACATTTTGTTTAGCCCAATATGAGAAAATATTACAGTTAAAGCATTAATCAATATAAACAAATGAATGAATTATATTTTTTTTTCAGAAGTCTTTGAAATACAATTTGCGTTATAACAAAGCTCATTTCAAATAAGCCATATTTCAAGCATTCAGTAGCTAGACATGAACCACTCTTATTATACTGGACAGTTCAGGTCAATACTATTTGTTCCTAGAAAAACTATTAATTTTTTTCCCCTAAAATGTGGTAAAATTTCATTGTGTGGGTCCTTTTAAAAGTGTGGGGGTGTGATACTTGATAGTTTGCTTCTAAAGAAATAAGTGTGAAATTATGTTTTTCCTTTTTTGCTTTATACCCACTAGATCTACCAAAGTTTTTCTGTGCACCCCAACTGTCTTGCAGCTCAAGATCGTTTTGTCTCAGTCCCCATCTCCGCTCAGCTCATGGGACTATGCCACCACCCAGGAGTGCTGAAAACGTGAGACTGGGAAATCCCTCTGATTCAAGCTATAACTGATCCAGGCATATGAGTAATCATGCAAAAATGACCCAGAGAACTGCTTAGCTCTGCACAGAGTTAAGACACTAAATTTTAGTAAAGGAATAAACTTTTGGCTCGCTTATCAATTCTTAGAATACTGATTGATACATTTATACCTCAAGTCAGTAGTGAGGAGGATGTAAGTTACATAGTTACAGTTATCCTGTCTGAAGATGGAAAAACAACACTCAAATAATCCACCACCACTTAACAGAAAAGTTGGTCCTAGAGCTATAATTATAAAGAGCTACAATACTCTTTATCCTCCACCTGTATTTTGTTTATTAATTTTTAGTTAATTTAATTAATTTTGTTTCATATAGGGTCTTGCTATATAGCCCAGGCTTCTTAGAATTTATGATTCTCCTGTTTCAATCTCCCAAGTTCTGGAGTTACAAGCATCCATCCCTGTACCCTTTACCCACATTTCAAAGACAGTGCAAAGGCAAAGGGAATGACAGAGGGGATAGAGGATTCCTGCTATTGCAGGAAGGAGACAGACCATTCCTGCTACTGCTGATATCGTGGTCAAGAGCCAACCACAACAACCTACAACATGAGCTCAATAAATGTTTTCAGGGGAACTCCTGGGCCTGGCACCAACATGAGGAAGGGAGAATAAGGGGGACTCATGCTACAAAAACCCTGGGCTGATGTCAATTGCCGCCCAACTAATGTTCACTAGATGTCGGGCACACACACACACACACACATCTGCATGAGGTAAGTCAGGGAGAGAAAAGGTTCATTATCTAGGCAAAGGCACCAAGCTACCAAGTACTAGAGGCTGGGTTTGCTCTTGACTGAGAGACAGAGCTTTGGACTGCTGTGTCAGATAGCCACTCACCCTATTCCAGCCTTCAGATAGATCCATGGCCAAAGTTAAATTGCAGCTATTTTATTCCACAAGATTGTCAGTTACCAAAATTCTACAGAGTCCAAGAATCATCACCCAACTAAGAAAACTGTAACGTGCCACACCCATCTGGCACTGACATGACTTCACTATGCAAGTATTGCCCTATTGATGTGTGTCGCAGTGTCTCTGCTTTTCTGCCTCACTGAATTTTCCCAGACCACAGAAGCCTGATTGACTCTAATGCAGGTGCAGCCTGGCAGTATGCAGGCATCTGCATCCTCAGAGTGGACCCTTTCCAGAAGGCAGGTGAGACTTTATAGATGCTCCATGACCATGGTCCAGCAGGGGAGCAACTCTGAGGCATATTCTTTAGGCTTTTCAGACTTTCACAGTAGATACTTTAGACAAGATAATTTCATTCTTCTTTTAATGCATATTAATTGTAAAATCAGTGATATTTCTTTTTTGTCTCACGTGTGTATGTTTATGCTGTGTCTGTATATGTAAAAGAGTGAGGAGGAGGGGCGGGGGAGGGGGAAGTGAGTAAGTGCTATAGCACACACGAAGGTCAGAGGACAACCCAGGGGTTGGTTGTAACCTCCCATTTATTTGAGACAGGGTCTTTTGTTTGTTACTGCATACACCTCCAGGAATTCTCCTGCCTCCACCTCCCACCTGGCAATAGGAACACTTTGATGGCAGATGCTGGCTGTTGTATTCAATTTTCATGGACTCTGGGCATCAGAGCTCAGGTCCTCAGGAGCGTGCCTTTAAAGTCTGTGGTGCATGCCTTCAATCCCAGCCCTAGAGAGGAATAGAAGATGGGAGGAGTCAGCTTTCAGACTCAGTCTCCTTCTGAGATTCCTGGTGGCAGGATCAAGATTCCAGACTGAGGTCGAGGAAAGAGCCAGTGGCTGGCTGTTTTGCTTCTCGGATCTTCAGGTTGAACCCCAATTTCTGACCCTGAGTTTTTATTAATTGTGCTTCACTCCTCTGTTCCTGAAGATCAGCTTCTAGATAAACATTTCATCTCACCCCTGCTTTAGCTTTTTTTGCCTTCAGCAGAACCCAAGTTGATAGAGGAGATACTAGCGAGCAACCCTCAGCCATATGCAAAGACAGCAACTGATATCGTTAGCCTCCTCAAATGGGAGGGGAGAACTCACATTTGATTCTGGTGGAGGCCTTCAAGAAGATCCTGTGACCCACTGGAGAATCACAGACTTAGGAACTGGTGGCAACCCTATGCACGAGGAAACTTGTCCACGGCGCACTCATTTCCATGTGTGGGTGAGTTGCGCCACACCGCACAATGGTGGGTATCTAGGGTTAGATGTGCAGTTGCCACAAGTCCAGAGCAGTGACTCACAATGTGATTTTTACTTTTGTGACCCAGAATCCCTGAGAGTGAAGTCTGGACCTGTGAATCTTAGTACGATATGGTCTGCTGTACAGAGCTACACATACATTCTAAAGTGCCTGTTCATAGAACACTGGGACAGCAAGGGGAGGATCCAAAGTCATGATCCCAGGCCTGAGGCAACTTGGAGTCCTAGCCACCACTGTGCAGTTCTAAGGACTGTGGCTGGAGGAGGAGGAAGGAAGAGGCAACGGTTCTTTGTACTGGGAATCTCCCCTTGAGAGAACCTGAATGTCCTTACCCATGCCAGTGACTTGCACAGAAAGTTTATATTTGGGAAATGTATTTCACAAAGCACATCTCTGGGTCAGGGAGGCAATCCATCATTTACATCTGAAAATGAAAAGTATGATCTCAGAGAAAAGTTCACAACAATTAAACCAAGTAGGGAGTTGGAGGGGACACTTGTGGTCAATGCAGAGCTACTCATGGAGACAGCCTGACAAGTGTCAAAGGCATGCATGCACACCCACACACACATACTACATATACATGCACACACACACACACACACACTAACAGTTTTGAACTTTACAAAAAAGAAGGCAACCCTATTTTTAATAATAGAGACATATCTTGAAGATATTATGATAGTGAAATAATCCAGATAAAGAATCACAGGCAAATTCTGTATGAGCTCACTTATTTGTGACACATTTTTTTATTTTATTTTTTCCCTCTTTTTTTAAATTTATTTATTTATTTATTAAAAATTTCTGTCTCTTCCCCGCCACTGCCTCCCATTTCCCTCCCCCTCTCCCAACCAAGTCCCCCTCCCTCGTCAGCCCAAAGAGCAATCAGGGTTCCCTGCCCTGTGGGAAGTCCAAGGAACACCCACCTCCATCCAGGTCTAGGAAGGTGAGCATCCAAACTGCCTAGACTCCCACAAAGCCAGTACGTGCAGTAGGATCAGAACCCAGTGCCATTGTTCTTGAGTTCTCAGTAGTCCTCATTGTCCGCTATGTTCAACGAGACCGGTTTTATCCCAGGCCTTTTCAGACCCAGGTCAGCTGGCCTTGGTGAGTTCCCGATAGAACATCCCCATTGTCTCAGTGTGTGGGTGCACCCCTCACGGTCCTGAGTTCCTTGCTCGTGCTCTCTCTCCTTCTGCTCCTGATTTGGACCTTGAGATTTCAGTCCGGTGCTCCAATGTGGGTCTCTATCTCTGTCTCCTTTCATCCCCTGATGAAGGTTAATATTCAGGAGGATGCCTATATGTTTTTCTTTGGGTTCTCCTTCTTATTTAGCTTCTCTAGGATCACTAATTATAGGCTTAATGTCCTTTGTTTATGGCTAGAAACCAAATATGAGTGAGTACATCCCATGTTCCTCAAACGTCAAATCTACAGTATCAAAGTCTAATGGTGGTTACAGGTTAATGGGGAAAGGCAGATAGCAAAGGACAATATTGGTCAGAAACTATATTATTTAAAACACTGCTTGGCCCATTAATTCTAGTTATTATTGGCTAACTTTTACATGTTAATTTAACCCATTTTTATTAATCTGTGTATGGCCACATGGCTGTGACTTACTAGGTAAAGTTCCCGTGTCTGTCTCCAGCAGGGCTACATGGCTTTCCTCTAACTCTGCCTTCTTCCTCCCAGCATTCAGTTTAGCTTTCCCCGCCTATCTACCCTATCAGGCCAAACCAGTTTCTTTATTAACCAATGATATTTACTACATACAGAGGGAAATCCCACATCAATCATATACTTTACTTATATGTCATCTTTGTTCATCAATCACACCTCAGTAACAAGAAACTAGATTTACAAAAACATTTCTTAATTAGACTTTATATGTATGAGTGTTTTGCTTGTATGTATGTATATGTACTGCATGCTTGCCTAATGCCTTTTAGAGGCCAGAAGACAGTGTCAGATTCTCTGTAACTGAAATTATAGATGGTTGTGAGCAAACACTTGGGTGCTGGCAATTGAATAGGTGTCTTCTGTGAGAGCAGCAAGCCCTCTTAATCATTGAGCCATCTCTCCAGCCCCAGAACTGATGTTTGCTTTTTGTTTTGATTTTGTTTGTATAGGTAAATGAATATCACACACACACACACACACACACACACACACACACACACCTGTTTTTTGAGTTCCCAAGCTAATCCTGTGTACTTTGACCACACAACAGACATGGTTCACATAGTTCAGAACACAGAGAAGGTAGACTTCAGACTTTTACCCTGTATACCAGGCTGCTTCCTCTAAGAAGGCTCAGACCATGTCATGACAGTGTTCTGTTTTGCAATATTCCAAGCACAAGGAATCCACACAACTTTCTTTAAGCACGCTGCAGAGGAGACTGAGAAGAGGCTGGAGCTTGCCCTAGGTCACCCTGCAAGCTGGTGGCTGCAGGCATCTTGAAGCTCATGTCTGCTGATCGCCAGACCAGGCTGTATAAGGACAAAGGTGAGATGGTTGATATCCCTTATATCTTCTAACTCAAGTGTCCCCAAAATGTGGTGTGCATAATTTCACAAACTGAAAAACCACTCCAGTAAAACTGAGCTGCTTTTCCTGCAGGATCAACGAGCACAGGCTTCACAGTTACTCGGGAAGTTCTCGGAACAAACGAGAGCTCTGCTGTGATTTGTCTCTTTCCAGAATTTCAGTTTCCAGTTAGTGGAGCCTAGAGCCTCATTTTCCACTTGGCCTCAGTGGATCGCTCTTAACTTTGGCCATGAACTAGACAGCCCTGACCAAACATGAGCTCGCCTCCCCTCCCAGGAACAAGCTGTCCTTCCTCCACCTCTTCCAGCAGCACTGGTCATACCCCTAACTCTAATGCCATGCTCTCAGCATGCATTGTAAAACCAGGAAATCACCAGCAATGAGGTCAGCCGTGATTTCCCAGAGGAGCCAGGATGCTGAGGCTAAGGAGAACATAGTGCCATTAAAAAAAAAAAAAAAAAAAAAAAAAAAAAAAAAAAAAAAAAGTGAACTCTCAAGAGTTTTATCATAGTGTCCTAATTATTGCTAGCTTACATTTGTTGTTATCATTTTTGCTTTGTTAGACTGGGTCACTGTGACTAGTGTTTAATGAACAGATTGGGTTTTCTTTTAAGTTCCCCCCGCACAGCTTTGAAGTTAGTAACTGGATTGTAGCTGTCTTCTCAAACATGACTATAATGTTCATGTGTCTGTTGTTGGCTTGGGGTGGGGGGGGTGTCATCCCACAGCATACCTATGGGGGAGAGAGGATAGCTCTCAGGAATGGGTTCCCTCTTTCCACTCTGTGGGTTCTGGTGAATTTGGGTCATCAGCCTTGGCAGCAGGTGCCCTTAGACGCTGAGTCATTTCCCAAGCTGTTGATTGGGAGTTTTAAAGATTTCCTGGACATCTTGATGGGGACTCATCAAGAACCGCAGGCCCCTCCTGAAATCAGCACATCCAGGACTGACTGACTCTTGTGTCCATAACTAGCCCTCTTCCAGTTAATGCTTGTGATGTAGGGAAGTTTGGAATCTGATAAGTTGGGAAACACGGGATGATGGCATGGACATTTAAGCATACCCAAGAGAGACATCTTCTTGCCAGTAATCCAAAAGACATAAGAAAGCGTCCATAGGCAAAGGGGCTAGTGTGGGCCCAAACCCCACCCCAGCATCTGCGCTGCCAGGCTCCTGCCACAGCCACATCTGTGCACAGGGAGCAGTGATCTCACTTCTCTAAGCATGCTCACCTCTCACATCCAGCCTGACATTGGCAGCTGCTCAGTTTGGCTTAGCCGCTCAGTCTCAGTCTGTGGGCTTTCGGAGCCTCAGAGTCCACACCAGACCCAAATATCATTTTCATGTCAGTGTGCACGGATCTCCCATTCCTTGGACTCTGCGCCCTGAGACCTGTGTTGTGGAATATTAGTTAAAGAAGTGTTACATTTGCTTATGCTGTGGAATATTTGTTTAATGATGCAAAGATGTGTTGCATTCTTTTATGTTGCCTTTGTTTAACTCTGTGAAGCTGGGTTACCTGGCCTGTCTAAAACACCTGATTGGTCTAATAAGGAGATGAACACCAATAGCTAGGCAGGGGAGAGAAATAGGAGGAGCAGGTGGACAAAGAGAGTAAATAAGAGGAGAGAGAAGAATGAGCAAAAGGGGAGTAGTGAGAAATGGAGAGGAGGACACGGGGGACCACACACCCAGCCACGCATCCAGCCACGGAGTAGGAAGGAAAGAGAGGTATGTAGACTAGAGATGGGTAAAAGCCCAGAAGAAAGGGGTAGATGGGATAATTTAAGTTAAGAAGCTGCCTACAAATAAGCTAAGCTAGGAGCAGACATTCATAAGTAAGAATAAGTCTTTGTGCATTTAATTGGGAGCTGGTGGCAGGCCTCCAAAGAGCAAAGAGTAAAAACAAAGACCAGCTACAGTCCTGCTAGGGAACATTTTCTGAATTGTATTCAGCTGGATTTTCTTAGACGAGCCCACATAGCTTCCTAGCTCCCTTGTTAACAACTGCCCGGGAGCCTTGTAAGCAGTTGACAGAGAACAGAACCCTTAAGATTGAACACCAAAATTGAGCTCCTTGATGGCCGCCGTTCCCATGCCCCTTTTAGCTTCCAACACTTAGCTGAGTACCAACTATGTGATAGGATTTACAAATAAACATTGCATACGTAAATAAAATTTTAAGTCAAATGAACCCACAGGGCAAAATGTTTTTCAAGTTTAATTATTTAAGCACACACAGAGAACTGAATTTTAATTTGAGAAACCAAATGTAAGGAAGAGGTGTAGCTCCTCAGAAGAGCAGTTGCCAAACTCTGGGTTCAAACTCCAGAACCATAAAAAATAAACTTAAAACAGGAAAGAAGGGGAAGCTGGAGTTCACGGGGAGTGGTGGAGATGGGGTATACCTGATCAAAACACATTATATCCGTGTAAGAAATTCTCAAACAATGAATTTTAAGTAAATAAATTTCTGGGAGAGAAAGAAAAAAGAGAATAGTCTAGGTGCGATTAAAGACTTGCATCTGTTCTAGCCTCCCCAGTAGAGTTGAAAATTTTAGTTCATTTATACTTTAACTTAATGTAATGAGTAACTTGATTCAAATGTTCTTCATCTGAACAATTATATCATGCTTTTGTTTATGTGGATTATATCTATTAATACTGACTAAAGATTTTAAATGGCCACTTAAAATATTTATATATTGGGCTAGAAGGCAGGATGGCACAGCAGTTAAGAGCACTTGCTACTCTGGCAGAGGACAGAGTTGCGTTTCAGCACCTACACTGTGAGGTTCACAACTGCCTGAAAGCACAGATCCCGGGAATCTGAAGTCCTCTGGTCCCTGCAGACACATGTGCACATATGCACACTCCTGCCTACATATACAAATTTAAAATAAAATAAGCCTCTAAAATGAATTTTTATTTTGAAATAATAACTGTAAACCCATTACACCCACCAGATGTTAAAAGGTCAATATAATTAACATGTTATAAAAAACCTTTCCCAAGACAAAATAATTCAATGAGGAAAAGGGCTATTTTACTTTTATTTTCAAATTTCTTTAATGTTTGGTATGGCAGAAATAAGCTGTGTTTTCATATCTGCTCCTGCCTTTAATTTATGGCCATATAATACAGCATGTTGGACACATGGACCCTGAATCTTCATTTTTATGAAGATAATTTTAGAAGTGTCTTCGGAGCATCCATGGGTCCCCAGTGTTTTAAGGACACCCATGGTTCCCCAGACCACACTTTGAGGACCATCGATACCATTTTCCCTAGTACAATTCTAAAAACAATAAGAGAAACTGATCAAAGAATTGGTTTTTCTGCTCTGAATGAGGTGTGACTTGATGTCACTGGGATAAATACACACTAGGATATCATGGCAAAGAAGTTTGACTGTGTATTGCAGCAGGCTTTCTTTGGGGCTGCCAACCAACTTCCAGATCATGACATGGAGACTTCTTATTGCTTATGAATGTTCAGCCATATCTTGTGTTTGTTACTAAATGTAACCAGTTTCTCTTCATCTATGTTTCACCTCAGGGTTCTTTAAGGTTTTGTTGTTGTTGTTGTTTTTCCTGTATGTCCTACTCTTCCTGCTTCTTCCATGTCTGGACAGCTGACGGCTTCCTGGCTGATGGCCCAGGTGTCTCCCTCTCTTTCCTCCTCTTCTCTTCTCCCTCTTGAGCCTAGATTCCTCCTCCTATTTGTTCTCTCAGCCCACCAGCCCTGCCTATTCTTCTACTGCCTGCCTATTCGCCATTCAGCTTTTTATTAAACCAATCAGGTGCTTTATGCAGGAAAGGCGACACATCTTTACATCATTAAATAAGTGTAGCATAAACATTGTAACATCTATTTACACAGGTGAGGTAATATTCCCCCAACATAAACAAATATAACACATCTTTGCACAGTTAAAGTAATATTCCACAACATAAACAAATATAACACATCTTTGCAGAGTTAAAATAATATTCCACAACAGCATCCTCTCAGTGTAGGACAAAATACAGATCTTAAAATTCACAACTTATTTCTTTTTGTGGAACAGAATATTCATCACAGAAGCACAGAGCCTTTGGTTCTGTAGTGTTCTTTTTGACTTTTATGTCCTATCTTCTCTCTAAAAGACCCCTCTAGATCAGCATGTGTTCTGGTCAGACAAAAAGATAACAGAAGCTAGAAATGGTGGTACACTCTTATAATCATAGCATTGGGATCTGAAACAGGAGGATCAAGGGTTTGAGGCTAGCCCCGATTACATACAAACATGCTGTCTCAATATAATGAAAAAGAAAACTATAATTTTTAGCTATCTCTTAGAAGCATTCCAAGGATTAAATACATTAACATAAGTTGAATACTTAAAATAACACAACAAACAGCAAATAGACTATTACACATCTTTTATATGATTAAAAAGGATATGTCTGTTTACCTCATCCTTCATAACTCAGTATGGCTTATAAAGACGTGTGTGCAGTTGTTCTTTTAGACCTTACTTAAGAGAGCCTTATTATGAAAGGATGAATTCACTGAGGTATCAATACAGAGTTGCTACTTAAAAGTTCAAAATGAGGCTTGAAAAATCCATACTTTAAACAAGTCCTAAAAATGGCTCCTTCCCTTGAAAGCTTTTGTGCATATAATATTAATTAGCGTTGCTCTAGAAACTTCTAAGTGGCAATTAAATTTAAGTTGGCCCCTGGGTTAATGGCAACCAAGGAGAATTGTTAATGCTAAATGCACTGAGGACTGACAGATTTGGTGAGTGTGTGCTGAATATCGACAGCATGTAAACCTCGGGAAGAGTGAAATGGAGAGGACAAACTATGTAAGGCCCTCGTCCCAGGAATAGCATTGAGCTCCACAAGTAAGGAATGGAGACACAGGCAAAATACTCTAGATAATCATGAAGACAATAAAATTAATTATAAAAAAGGCAAAAGAAGATCATTATGGCTGGAAGCAATCAGGAAGACTTTACCCACATGGAAACTTTGAGAGGGAGGGTTGAAAGATGAACATGATCAAACCAAGAAGACATGGGAAAACCACGCCAGAAAAGTGCAGGATTGAACCATGATGTTGTGGAATATTTGTATACACTGTAAAAACTTGTCTTTGCCTAAGGTGCCTTCTGATGGTTTAATAAACAGCTAAATGGCCAATAGCTAGGCAAGAGAGTATAGGCAGGACTTCTGGGGAGAGATAGGACTCTAGGAAGAACAGAGGTAGAGACACAGAAGACTCTGAAGAAGTCTGACATACAGTACAGAGCAGAGGTAACTGAGTCACGGGGCAGAATGTAGATTAATAGAGACAGGAAGTCTGGCTACATCATGATAGTCTGGCATAATGGGAGGATAAGGCAACAGAGGAAAGGACTAGAATGAATGAAATTAGTTTACATGATACATTTCATGTAGATTTCACTAAATAATCAAAACACATCGCCTTAGCAATAATAGAACTGCATCATCCACAGGTGGTCATTATGGGAATATGAACATCATCCGTTTATTCTGTGCAGGAGGGACAAAAGGAAGGAATTGAGTAACCAAACAAATGAGAAGGCCACAGAACTGATCCAAAGGAGAAGCGGTTCTCTGAGGTTTCACAACTGTTACAGGAAAGCAGGGTGTTGTTCTCCTAGTAAAAGAACCCCAAAGATTAGGGACAACTAGAAATCAGAGGAGAGCACTGTGTGCTGGACCAAGGCCATGTGTGTTATATAAAATCTGGGAATGTTTAAATTAACACAAGGAATGAAAGAAGAAATTGGAAAAGAGAACAGGTTTGGAACTTTGCTAGCGCAATCTCCCACTAAACACTAACCAACTCTCCTTTAAATCTTGGCCTCCGAGATCAAGTTCGAATGTGTCAGCAGTTGAACATTGTGAGGCTGCAGAGCTGTAATCCTCATCTCTGAGTCACAAGATGGGCCACATATCAAAGGCCTCCAAGACACCAGCCCTGAAATCAAAAGGCTTTCTCCCAAGATTACTGAGGCCCCAAACCAAATAAGCTCAGGAGAACACCTGCATTGTCCTTCCTTAGCTATAGCAGTGGAGGAAATCTAGCTGGAAGAATCGGCTAGGAGCGGCCCCGTGAGCTTCTCTCTTGTTACATCCGTTATTTCTTAGAACCTATTACATAAAAATTATGAGTTCCACTGGGCAAACAGTGAACACGGTTGCTCTCCACTCGCAGAAGCAGTTCCTTCCTGTGGCACCCTCAGCACTGCCATCTTTTCCCATCCTATTTCTTTATAATTAGTCCTCTTGGGCTCTGCAATTGGACACCAAATACTCCCTGCTTTCTCTCCAGATTTAAATTTTAAATGTTAACTACACAGTAAAAAAAAATGGAAG